TGTATAAGTCTGTGCAGCTGAATAAGCTGAACGATTTATTGGATTTCCTGTGGATGGATATGTATGGATTTTAAATATATTTTTATGGTACCACGAGATGAGCTTGAGTCTCAGGCTCGTTGGTTAGGGTGCGTATATGCAGTAGGATGCGTAGCTGGATATGAGAGGTTGAGGTGTACCCTGTTAGGTCTAGGTACTCATGCCCACCTATGGGTGCGTTTTCGCATGTTACCTTCTATTCAGGTTGATGCCCTCTCCATAGTCCAGTGAGAGTCCTGTAGTGTGAATATACATATCTACGGACTATTTAGTTATTATTGAGTTGGTTAGAATGTATATGCGTATCGAGTCTCTGCTTAGATTGTAGTAGGTTAGAACTTGTTCGTGGGCCTGACCCACCTTTATTTTTCAGGTACTTGTCAGTTCCAGACTTAGATTTGATCGTGCTGAGCGGAGACTACTACTCACTCTTCCGACGACGTAGAACTTTCCTCCATGGTTTACTCTGGATGTTCTTTAAGTAGCTTCCATTTCAGTTTGGATTATTATTAGGGGTCCATTAGAGATGGATTCCCGAGTTGTATTAGAATTGGAGAAGTTGGGTGTATCAGACTAATTATTTATTTATAAAATTTTATTCTGAGGTTTCCAGTTTTGATTTTATCATTCTAGTTTCATTTCAGCAATTTATTTATTCCTGTTTTTTAATTATATTCTGTGTTCATTTATTACTAATTGGTTTGATATCCTCGGGTAATCGGGCGTGGGCCTGGCCAACCCGCATCCGGAAATCCGGGGGTATCACAGCCTCTCACATGCAAGACTGGTTGCTAGATTGGGTAAAGTGCAACAAACTAAATAGTTTAAGGGGTTTTTTTTGCTCATTGGGGTATAGTTTAGGTGGGTTTAATGCACTTTACCCTTTATTTTATATTGACAAGAAAGTTGTGCAATCACTTTGTTCACATAGATACTTGAACTTTAAACCTAGGAACGCAAATTGGGTTGGGTAACCCGGACCCAATTCGAGTCCAGCCTGATTTTTCGTGGGCTTAGGCAATCATTTTAACAATTAGACTCGGGCCTAGCTTAAAAATCTCAACCTAAACTTAATTAGGGTTGGATTTAGGTTGAGGTGCTAACAACCCGGGCTCAACTCGAACTCGAACTCGAATTTTAATAGTGTCTATATATATATATATATATATATTTGTTTTAAATACATTATATATAGAATATTCAAATTAGCTTCTTTTGTTAAATCTTAATTTATTGTATGTATTTAAAAGAATTAATTTTTAAAAATTTGTTTGTCATTTAATAAACAAAATTGTAATAAGTTTTTAATTAATTTATTTAAGAGTAATTTAATCTAGATCTGAAACTAATTCAAGATCACATTAAATTTTGTGGAGATTGGCCATTTGTGTAACCCGAATTAACCCGACTTTCTAACCCAAAATCTAAGTTCGAATTGCAAATCGAGTTTAAAAGTAGAAGGATGGTTTGAGTAGTTAGGATAAAATGTATAGTTAGAATTGGGTTTAGGTTGGACATGATTTCATATGTCGGTTTGGGCTCAGCTGTACCTCCAACCAACCAACTTGCCAGAATTACAACCCTATCTAAACCTTCTATTTGGACAAGTAGGAGAGGATCATTATACTTCAACATTTGGTATATCAACGGTAGTTATATATATTTTAATATACATAAGTCTGTGCATAGAAGCCAATACTTCAATGCATATTATAATTAAAGTATTGTATGTAAATTTCTACTGAATATGGGTAATTAACTCCAAAACTAGTATAACAAAATTTATAACCACACACACGAATAGGCCAAAGATATATTAATATATACGGTAATATATATAACTATAAACATATACATCTAAATATTCACTTGTATGTATATGTGCATATTCTAGCTATTTATTTATTCATCCAATTGGAAGGAATGGGATGGAGTGTCACCAAATATATATATATATATATGTATGTATGTATGTATATATATGTATGTATGTATGTATGTTCACTTATTTGTCTTTGAAATAAAATTAGAAACGAAAATGTTTTGGAAAGTAGACATATGCAAGTATAAAATTAGAAATTTTTGTGATGATATGATGAATATAAAGCTGTCAAATAAATAAATTAAGAACCTGATTTCAAACAGTGAAAAATTCTAGACAGCAATTGTTGTCGAATTTTTATAAACATATTTATTTGGCCAAAAATTTTGAAATTTTTCAGAAAGTAATTAGACATACAGAAGAACCTTTGGTAAAAATTTCATAGCAATCGGAATATTATAATACCTTAGAGAAATTAATGAATTTCAACACAATAAATTGACGCCATTTTGTGACTCATATTAACTCAAGTGTAATTTTGACATTTCAACAGATATGATATTTTACAATAAAACTGATTTTAATATTAAGGAGCAATTTTGTCTTTTTGAACCATTTAAGGCCACGTTTGGAAGACAATTCTGATATGGGATGTCATTGTTAAAAAAATAGCCAACTTGTATATGACTGTTCATATGGCAAATTTCAGGGAGTATCATTATACTTTATCCTAATAAAAAAGTTAATGAGAAATTATGTATGAGACTTGTTAGTGAGAAAATAATAAGAAAGAGTAGGCTTAGGTAATATGAACATATTTATAGTAACGCGGACTTATAGATGCATTAGAGAAGAAAAATGATTTTCGTAGAACGCTAAAGCTTTGGTGATGAGAGATGGATTGTTGTTGTCGAAATAATGGGATTACTTAGATGTTGATATTGAGAGTGATTGCCAATCTTTGATTATGTTTCATCGCTCAAGACTGTTGATTGGTTGTGGTCCAAGATTTGGTAACAAAGTAGCTCGCGGGAGTAAACATACTTTGGGTAGGAAAATTGTTGGTGGAAATTTTACATATTTCATAAAATAATATAAAAGATAATACATCAAAACATTATGATTCAAGATAATGAATAAGAACGACAATGAATAATTAAATAATAATTTTTTTTATTAAATTCAATAATACATCAATTGAACGATATGAGTATAATGATAAATTATAATTTAACAATATATATGAATAATTATGCAATAGAAGATTAATATACTATTATAAATTAAGAATGAAGACTATAATAGTAAAATAGGTAAGCAAGAGCTAACTTGATTGTTAAGGCATGTGTAAATACATTGACCTAAAGTTAACAGTCCTCCCCTTTGTACGAGTATTGGCGAAATTAGTCAGTTCTAAGATATAACCCAACTATGAGCTCGCAGTGGCGTCTTTTCCATGTACATGACCACAAAAAGACTAGGTTAAAATCTATATATATATGTCTTGTTACACATAAACTCAATATCTAAAATACTCTCAAATACACAATACATATATACTTATATGAAAAATAGAATGGAAAGATGAAAGTCCTATTTTTTTTTTTTTTTTTTTTTTCAAGAGTCTCACTCACACTCATATATATATATATCTTCACACTTAAATATACCTTTTCTTTTTTTGTTTTTTCTTTCAAGAGTCTCACTCACACTTTTATATATGTGTATCTTCACACTTAGATATATCTTTTCTCACACCCAACAAAGACATGTGACCCAACAAATGACATATGACCATATATATATATAATATTTAAGTTGCAACGTTAAATGGTCAAATAAATATACAAATAACGATGATAATTACGATTGATACAATAGACACCATAAAAATAATTTAACTTATACAATAATAACCATCATTATAAATATAATAAATAATTATATTAATTTTTATTTTTATTTTTATTAAAATATCCATAACAAAAAAAAATCCAACAGAAGACAAGGCTAAATAAAGGTAAAATGACAATACTATTTATTTACCAATGAAAAGTGCTCAATTAAATCCTTAATTTTCGAAAAAAAAAGGTGCTCAATTAATAGGATGACACGTACACTCTAAGAAGATGGTTTCTTGACAAAAAATTGTTCATATTTTATTAAAAAAAAAAAAAATTAAAATATAAGTTGTAACGTTAGATGGTCAAATAAATATACTAATAATGATGAAAATTATGATTGATATAATAGACACCATAAAAAAATTTAACTTATATAATAATAACCATCATTATAAATATAATAAATAATTATATTAAATATTATTTTTATTTTTTTATAAAATATCCATAACAAAAGCTAGGGGTAAAAAAAAAAAAATCTAATAGGAGACATGGCTAAATAAAGGTAAAAATGACAATACTATTTATTTACCAATGAAAAGTGCTACATTAATAGGATGATACATAAACTCTAAGAAGATGGTTTCTTGACAAAATATTGTTCATATTTTATTCAATGAAAAAAATTAAATCACCAATTATTTCATGATAATTTCAATAGGCAACATATATAAATAACATGTCAATTGTCAAAGAATAAAAAATATATATATTCTACAAACCTGTCTTTGTTTTCAGATCCTTTTCTCACCTCGACTTTTCCTTTTTTTAATCATCCAATGGACCCCACAAGCAGGAGGATAAAGAAAGTGAGAGTGAGAGATCATTAGCTCAAGCTTATTTCACTAAATTTTTGTTGTTTTAAGCTGGTTTTAATTGGAGCTAGTGATGGACACTGAAGAAGTTGCTTCAGCTCAGAAAGAGAGAAGTATCAATGCCAGAAGGCCCCTTGAGAGGTCCGAGATCGTCGAAGATTTGACCTTGGAAGAGGGGAGATTGCCCTTAATTCCCTTCTCATTGCCACCTCCTTCTGTCACACTTCTACGAAAGGTGAGATAGCGAGAGTTCACTAGTGTGTGTTCGTGTTCAAGTCTCCCCACCTTCTTGAAAAAAAGACTGATCGATTGTTTTTTCTTTTGCATTATTGTGTGTGTGTTTTTGCACGTATATGTAGTACTGAAGATGATGACTAACCATGCATGTTGTGTTCTTGCCAAGAGCAGGTGGGAGCTGAGTTCATAGGCACTTTCATGCTCATCTTTGCAGGAGCATCCACAGCCATTGTGAACCAAAAGACACAAGGCTCTGAAACCCTACTCGGCCTCGCCGCCTCCAATGGCCTGGCTGTCATGATCATCATACTGTCGACCGGCCACATATCGGGAGCCCATCTCAACCCTTCTGTTACCATTGCCTTTGCAACCTTCAAACACTTCCCATGGAAACTTGTAAAATTTGCTAGCTAGCTCTACCTAAGTCCCAGCATGCATGCATATCCCTAGTTACTATATATATTTTGTATATACACTTGACAATATATAGGGTTCAATGTGATGGTAGGTGCCGGTGTACATTGGGACACAAGTGATGGCATCATTGGCTGCATCATTTGTACTCAAGTTGATTTTCCACCCTTCAATGGGTGGAGGAGTCACTGTTCCTTCTGGGGACAATGGACAAGCTTTTGCTATGGAGTTCATTATTAGCTTCATCCTCATGTTTGTCGTTACTGGAGTGACCACCGACTCTAGAGCTGTAAGCAATCCTTATTCCATGTGTGTGTGTATATGATAATACTTGTCTCCTCACCATTGAAGTAGAACTCTCTCACGAGGATGATATACGTAGCACTATAATGCTCCATAAATAAATGAAATAAAAGTCTCATCCCTATCCTCACTTGGTTCCATCTTCTCCTTCTATTTTTATGTGAATAGGGACTGATGCGAACGTGATGTCAACCACATTAACGACAATCAATTCACACTCACATAAATTAATCAGAGTTATTCAAATTTAAGATTCCAAATCATTTTCCAATCTTTATTGATATGAGTGAAGAGGTAACTATTGTACTCTTTGTTTACTACTCTCCATTTCCGACTTATGTGTTAGTACATAATTGGTCCGGGATTTCCGGACCAAGTAATAATTTCTCAACATTTTTTGATCGCATTACAGGTTGGCAGGCTGGCAGCAATCGCAGTGGGATCTACCGTCATGCTAAACGTATTAATAGCCGGGTAATGTCAAATCTCTCTCACCATTCGAGCCTAAAATTGAGATTCAATTTTTTCATCCAACCACCGAATTTTTTACTCTCATATTGTTACATATCAGCTTTACTTAATCTTCATAATGCGACATATAACATCTGATAAGTAAATGAAAAAAACAAAAAAAAAACATCTGTTAAGACATATATAAATGATTAATTAGTTACACCTAGCAGACAACAGTTTAATTTTGTCGACCGTTTACATGTTACATAACAATTTTATAGATTCTTGCATCAATCAAGTTATTTTTTCCTGGCACTTGTCATGTATAACTAATTTACAGGGTTAATTATATAGTAGTGGATATTTTGGACTCTAATTGCTTTGGACTTAGTCCTAATAAATCATATAAATTTGTAGGACTAAAGGGACTTTGGCCTAATTGTATAACTTCTCCATCGTCAAAAAAGAGGGGAGGGGTTCGAGCTCTGGCGTGGGCAAAAAAGTGTGTGTGTGTTTGCTTTACCATAAATAATAAAAAAAAATAATAATTTTGTAGGTGTGGCCACCGATAGGATTATGCATCAATCTTATTTTGATTCATTCTCAACGGATTGAAAATTTTTGAATTCGCCATTGATCCGTGAGATAATAGATCGGATTCATAAAATGTCGGATTAAATCGGATTTGCATAATAGGGTTTTTCCTAAATATTGTTTATTTTTAAACCATAACCCAATTGATAAAATTTTAATTTATCAACATTAAGTCACATATTTAAATGATTATTAACTAATACATTCTTAGAATCCATTAAATAATCATTAATTAATTAATTAAATAATTAAAATAACTAATACATTCTTTGAATATATATATATATATATATATATAAAGCTCACGATGAAATTAGACACGAATTATTTGCCCATCCTATAAATTTGTGTATTCTTGTTGTTCTTTTATTATTTAATTTTAACAGTCGTTTCAATCTCTTCTTCTGACTCTCTCACAAACCAATACAGAGAGCTAGCGCAGATTTGTTGTGGCTGAGCGGGGTATTCGGGCCACTGAAATTTTTTATTTTTGTATTATATACACTTAATTTTTTTTTATTTTTTTTATAACTAATACTTCTTAGAATCCATTAAATAATGATTAATTAATTAATTAAATAATTAAAATAACTAATACATTCTTTGAATATATATATATATATATATATATATAAAGCTCACGATGAAATTAGACACGAATTATTTGCCCATCCTATAAATTTGTGTATTCTTGTTGTTCTTTTATTATTTAATTTTAACAGTCGTTTCAATCTCTTCTTCTGACTCTCTCACAAACCAATAGAGAGAGCTAGCGCAGATTTGTTGTGGCCGGGGTATTCGGGCCACTGAAATTTTTTATTTTTGTATTATATACCCTTAAATTTTTTAATTTATTTTTTTATTTTTTTTATAACTAATACATTCTTAGAATCCATTAAATAATCATTAATTAATTAATTAAATAATTAAAATAATTAATACATTCTTTGAATATATATATATATAAAGCTCCCGATGAAATTAGACACGAATTATTTGCCCATCCTATAAATTTGTGTATTCTTGTTGTTCTTTTATTATTTAATTTTAACAGTCGTTTCAATCTCTTCTTCTGACCCTCTCACAAACCAATAGAGAGAGCTAGCGCGGATTTGTTGTGGCTGAGCGGGGTATTCGGGCCACTGAAATTTTTTATTTTTGTATTATATACCCTTAAATTTTATTTTATTTTATTTTATTTATTTATTTTTTTAACCATAAAAATTTGAAATCACCTTGAAATTATAGAAAAACACCATTATATAAGTTTGCCAGCTTGTAAAATTTTATAGGTTATCACTGTAGAGGAGTGTATATATAAAGTATATATTAAGAGTAGTGATACTCAACAATTGTAATGAATTGTCTAACAGAATAATTTTTAATTGGCTATTTATATCAAATACAACTAAGTGAAAGATTTCACTTTCTTATTTGTTGCATTATTGGCCTATTAAAAGAGTAGGTATAGTAATTTACTGCAACTATAAGATGTAAGAATCATTTTCCATATATAACTATATTTATTTAGTTTATCTTCCCCTCAAGAAATTCGTAATATATGGGGATGTGTGTACGATTTTTTTTTTCCCCCAAATAATTCACAATTTATTTATATATAATAAATTACTAACTAAATGAAACTGCAAAGTGTGATGAATTTGTTAAAATAGAAGGTTATATACCTACTCTAACAAATATACTAATATTTTGGAACGATTTGCTATTAACATGATTTTATTAGAGTAGACGAGCTGACGAAGTCTGCAGACGTTCCACAATGAAAAATATTATCTCAGTTGGCTAGAATTCGTCAATTAATTAATATTTATTCTAGCATAATTTAGCCTATCAGGTGGTGGGTCGCAATCGCTTTTCAACTGCCGTGACAACTACATGTAGAAGCAAAATATCTCTATATATGTATGTATGTGTGTATATATATATATATATATGTATATAAATAGTGGTAATAAACCTGCATGAAAGCATGGTATACTTGTATTTTGACATATATAATCGTAGTTCAAAATTTTCAATAACCAAAAAGTAAAAAATAAATGACAGCAAAGCTGAAGAAGTAACCAAAGGACCAATTAATTTAACGGTATCACCTTTTTCTCCCCTTTGTGAGTTCGGGGTTCAAACCTTAATTCTATGACCATCATATTACATGTTTGAGATCATAATATATATATATATATATATATATATATATATATAATAACTAAGGTGTAACTTTTATTCATATAGAGACCACTTTTTGTTAATGTAAATATCACTTTTTGTCTTAGTAAGAGTAAACAATGCTTTTTCATGTTTTTAATTTTTCGAAGATGTTAAACTTTGACTCCATTAAATAACAAATATGAGTTATTAACACCATTTATATGTAATAATCTCATATATATATATATTATAATACATATTTGGACACTTTCGATTAAATTTATGTCTTGATGACATCAATAATCTCCGCTCACCTAAAATAGTTGAATATAAATACATATAGATACATATGCATCTGACTTTTAGACTACTTATTATTATTATTATTATTATTATTATTATTATTATTATTATTCACACACAAATCATTTAAGTGGTAAACAAAGCAGAAACTCAACATTAATGGTTTCTTACTCTTGGAGGCTCTTGTATGCTTTGTAATGGTATAGGAAAATCACAGGAGCTTCAATGAACCCAGTGAGAACTCTGGGGCCCGCCATAGCTGCAAACAACTTCAAAGGGGTATGGGTATACCTCACTGCTCCAATCCTGGGTGCGCTGTCGGGGGCAGCTGTTTACTCTGCTGTCAAGCTGCCAGAGAGAGAGGACGATACATAGCATAACCTTTCAACACCACAACATATATATATATATATATATATATATATATATATATATATACATGCCCTTATAAATATTTGTGTATTAATCAAATATATATAAATCAAGCAAGAGGATGATGGTTGGTGGTTGACTTAGTTTAAAAGGGAATCAGAACAGGTGGTATTGAGTGATTTTATTGTTTTCCATATTTTCCTTTTTGTGTTGCAGTTTCTGCTCTTTAGCTATTGTTTTCTTATTTGGGTTTTCGATTTGCTCTTTAATAATGATGTAATATATTTATTATCAATGTATTTGTTTGATCTTAAGCATGGTTATGCATTCCATATGTTTAGCATTTTAGACTGCCTTTAGTAGGGTACTTAATTTGTAATGATCCGGTCATTTTCCTTTCTTTTTGGTAATTTTTTTTTCGTCCTTTTTCTTATTTTGTCTTTTTCCCGTTTATCGTTTTTTCTTGCATAGCTTCATTTTTCGTGCTCGGATTTAATTCCGGTTTTGTATGCATCCATGATATTTGATTTCCATAATAATTGTATTTTTACTTTCGTAGAAAATACGTTCTAATTACTTACTTTTTCATAAAGTGTATGGATGCACATTTTTTTGTAAACATTCTTGATTTTTGGGATTTTAGTGTAATTATGAAAAGTAATTATTTTTCGTCTTGGGGACCATTTTGTAATTTAATTTGTAAGATATTTTGGAAAATGATCTTTTTACAATTTTTGAAAAATGTGACAAGTGTCACATTCTTATGGAGCCACTTGTTGGCATTGGGGTGGAAAGACTTGGAAACATAATCTTGTGACATTTGGAGGGTGGAGATTCACCCACTTGTTGTCCTAGAATTGGTGCACTTGTTGGCTTTAATGGTTGACAAATGTAAGCTTAGGATTAAGCCTAGGAATGAGCCATTGATTGTTGACAAGTGCAGACATCAAATTAAGTCTTGCATTAGTATGTGTGTGTGAGGTAGTGTAAGAGCACATAGTGAGTGGAGGAATACTAGATCCTCCACTCACCATTTTTCACTTCATCTTTTTCATTTCTTTTGTTCTTCAAAACCCTAACATAGCCACCATTGGAGAAAAGCTTGGTTAATAGCTTATTTTTTCATTTTGGCTTCATTCTATTCACCTTAGACCATAAACCTTGGGAGATAAAAGTTTCCTCTCACTCTCCTCTTCATAAACCCTAGAATTGTTTTCCATTTTTAAGCTTGGTTGCTTGGATTATAGAGATTCAATTCTTTATTGAGGTAGGGGTGGTAGTATGTTTATATTTTAAGTGTTTTATAATTCTTTGGGGTTTAATATATATTGTGTACATGCTTTTAATATGATAGCCTTACATATTATAGGAAACTCTCACTTTTGACTTAGGGTTTATTGATTTAAGCATGTATAATATGTATATACCTTGTGTAGAAGAATTATATGATTTAGTAGTATGCCAAATTCTAGTAATTTCACATGTGGTAGTGATATAGAACTCTTGTAGAATTATCAATGTTGTATACAATTCCTATTGTCTTGAAATTGCTATATTCATGGTGGTGATAATTCTATATCCTTATTGATGACTAATTGTAATTGTTTTAGGAGCTTATTGCTAAATTGTCAATGATTAGTATATAAAGTTTATTGTTAAGGCATGATTTAAATTGATAAGTTGGTAATATTGTTTGTACATTATATCATGGTGAATACTTGTCATTTATTATGCCATTTTAGACTTGGAACCCTAAGACATGGTTTGTGTGGTTTCAAAATATTTGTGCATGGAAGGTGGTATATATGCCTTAATATTGTGTATAAGTTTTGAACTTGATATATTTTGGATTCTCTTGGGACATTGTTACATGTGACATGGTTAGAGTTCGGCTCTAGTGCGGGAGGTATGAGTTCTCCCCATTTATAGTGCGCACTAGGGTGGTATTCCCAGTGGGTTAATGCTCGGAATAACCGTTTAGTTCTTGGCTTTATCCAAAATTTGATGTCCAAGTATTCCACTAATTGATTTCGCAGTCATTTTCCAAGTTGACAACCAATGCTTAATTGTGACTTGTGATTTTGGTTATTGGCAAATTAATGTTGTTAAGTACATTGATATTGTTATTGTGTTATGATGGAATCATTGCATCAGTCTAGGATGATCCCTTAGAACACCTTGAACATAGACGTTAAGTGGAATGCTCCCTTGTATCCGTCTATATTGATCTTGCAATGATATTGAAACTTTAGGGTATACGCATATGCTTCTTCCTACGAGTAACTTGATTACTCACCCTAGTGGTTTGGGTTGTTTTATAGGTAAAGAGACTATGTTCTTGGATGCTCATCATCCTTAAGGGCTTATGAACAATTTGAAGCATTTTTGTATATTGACATGCAAATGTTTAACATGCTTTACTTTTGATGATGTACTTTGTATACCATGGGTGTATGGTATTTTAGAAGCCAATGTAGCTTCCTTGATGTGTAATGGTACTTAAGAACTTACTTTTTACACTATTATCATGTATGTAATGAGGCCAAGGGCCAAACATGTTTACTTTAGCACTTGTACTCATTTGGTACCATATCTTACTTTAAAAATACATTTTAACAAATTGGGAGGTTTGACATATGAAATTCTTGTAATTGACATGTATAAGGTCATAAGCCATTGATTTACATTCAAATATTCATATTAGGTTTGTTGACATATTCATATACTCACATCTCCTTGAAAATCAACTTTTAACCTTTGTTTTTGAACTAATTCATGAGGGGATTTGAGGCTTGGGTTAAGCCTTAATGTTTTTGGCATATAGCAGGTTTTATAGCAGGTTTTCGAGTCATTTCGGTCGACCGATGGCTTTTGGAAACTTCATTGCATAGTAAAACCCTCATTCTAATAGCCAAAATCACTGTTCAGGGTCATTTCGGTCGACTGATGCCTTATTTCGATTTACCAAAGTAACCTCCCCTCAAAAATATGTTTTCAGGAAAGTTTTTTTTCCATTTCGGTCATTTGAAACTCCATTTCAGTCGACCGAAATAGCCTTCACTCATCAGCCTTCCAGGTTTTGTTTTAACATTGATGTTCCGATTTCAAATGGTCATAACTTCTTCATTTCTAACCCAAATGGGGTGATTCTTGAGCCTAAACTCAAGTATTTTGAGTCATCTTTCTAATGGTACCAATGCCATTCTCAGATTCTAATAACAGTTTAGTAAGGTAGTGTCAGTTTTCGCTTAAACCGGGAATGGGCGTTTTGTGGGATTCTTGGCCAAAGTTCTTAGAACCTCTTGGAATGTTGTGAAATGATTATATTAGGTTACATTCACCTTGTTTGACTTGTTTAGAGCCAATTCTCTCTTTTTATTTGTGAATTGACCATTTTGCCCTTAATTAACGGATTTTGCCTATTTTAACTTTAGTTTCCTCTTTCGCTTTCTTTAAGTTCCGTGACTTCATGGAATGTCACATTGGTGTCCTAGAGATGATTTATATCTCAAAGGACTATAGTTTTATCTTTTGCTTCCGTATTTTGGATCCATTAACGGGTTAATTTTCGGGTCATCACTGACGCATCGAGTTGAAAAACTTGGGCCGTCACAAGTAGTATCAGAGCTCCTAGGTTTGAATACCTTAGGATGACAGGTTTTGGGTGCATATCATGCTTTTGTTGATCTATTTTGATATATTCACATGCTTTTAATAACATATTTCAGCGTTATAACATGTTTTCGTGTTTCTTGATAACACGTTTGGTATTATGACATGTCTCTATGCTTATATGCTTATGTGTTTAAAAGCATCCTTGTTTGACATGTATGCTTACTTGCTTAAGTGCTTAACTATTTAAAGAGCTTTCTTTGATTACTTTAGCATGCATATGTTGCATACCATGTCTTGCTTCGTGTTTTGTGCATTCATAGTATGAGTTTCATTTGATAACTTGTGGTATTGTTGACCTCCTTTCTTTCGCACGTTTAGCATCATGGTTGTCACACGTAGAGAGTCTTCACGTTAGGGCATTGAGGAATAGGTGGCTGACACCGAGTTTACGAGGGGTTCGGGAAGGCCCAGGATTCCAGTTCGTGGCTTAGATGCTAATCTGCTGCGGGCACCGATTTACGAGGAACGGGTTGCTCAAGGAATCAATCGAAGGATCGCTGAATCCCTACAAGAATTGATACACAGGCAGGTGGCAGGGATACAGATTCTGGCACCAGCACCGTTAGTCAATAAGGCAATGGAGTACTTTATGTGACTACAGAGGGTTAAGATTGATCCATTTGCGAGGGGTTCAGATCCGCTAGTCTCAGAAGCTTGGTTGGACCTTATGGTTGGCAAGTTAGACAGTATGGCGGTACCCACAGACAGATTAAGGATTTCTTTGATTGCTTCTATGTTCATGGGAGATGCAGATATATTGAGTTGATGACTTGGAATGAGTTCAGAGATTTGTTCTTCGAGCGCTTCTTTCCTAGGGCTATGAGATGGGAGATGAGGATACAGTATACAGGTCTTTATCAGGGCACTATGAGTGTCATTGAGTATAAGACACGATTTACTTCTCTCTCTCGTTATGCCGAGGACATGGTGGCGACAGATGAGGCCAGGGCAATGAAGTTTGAGGATGGGCTACATCTTGACATCAGGCCACAGGTCTCAATTCTTGATTTGAGGACTTACAGAGTAGTGGTCCAGAGGGCTATGCTAGCTGAGGCAGAGGAACGAGATCAGTTACAGATAAGAGGTTCACACAAGCAGCCTCGTGGAGACAATCTATCATCTTCCGGGAGTCAGTAGAAGAAGGCTAGGGCAGGGAACAATACTCACTCACAGGGGGCACCATAGCAGATTCGTTCTGCACCCATAGTTCCTGTATCTTCGGGATTAGCCCAGAGTGTGGTTTGTTACCATTGTCAGCAGCCGGGGCACATCAAGCCTCGCTGCTCGCAGCTTCGACCACAGGCCAGTCAGACATTAGTTTCTACGAAAAAATAGGACAGGGAGCTTGCTTTTATTACAAGCACCAGGTCATCTCAAGAAGGATTGTCCAAGGTTGTTGAATAAGTCACGTAGTGGCACAGATTCACAGATGGTACCGACACAGTCTGCAGTGGTTTAGTTTGGTTTCAGAGTTCCTCAGGCACCACAGCCAGTGGCGCCAGTTGGCACTTATCCAACTAGGGTTTCTACACCTACTGTTTCTTCATGTCAGTCAGATTATCATGGCAGTTCACAGCAGGACTCAGGGGCTCAAGGACGAGCCTATGCTCTTCCACAGGCGGATACTTCCGCAGGGACCTCTTCAGTTCGAGGTA